ACTTCAATGGTAAATATACTGTTACAAACAAATATAATAAAATGGAGGAGAACACTTCTAAATACTCATGTAACAGAAGTGAGCCCAAATGGGATAAGGACTGAAACTACTTCAATCCCTAAGAGTGATTAGCATCTCATTTCTCCAAACAGAATTATCCCTGGATCAAGCATTACAAACATGAGAATTATGTAAACAATCAACAACTACAGAAGCTCTTGATTGTTAAACAAATTCTCCTTGTCAGCACCTTCAGAAATTTATAGAGAACAGTATGGAGAGTACACATACTGATGTTAAGGTGTAAACGGTTATTGGTTATTTGAATAAATTGTGCACTGCCAACCTGCTCTGTGACCTTGACATTCTAGGACAGAAACAGACAGCCAAAGGAAAAAAAGGAGACCATTTGGTCATATTTGATGTGATGCACAGCATGACACTTGATTTGTTTGCCTAGAATGGACTCGTAATTACTTTGTAATCAGCCATTCTATGCAAATTATGTCTGTCTGCAAGCTGTGGTTATAAACTAAGGTATGTTGTTGTTTTTAGGCACAGTAACAATGTGGGCCCCAAACACAAAAGATCCTCTTGTTAAGATGTTATGCCACAGAGGACCTGTACAATCAATTGCTATTGATACTAAAGGAAAGTAAGTAAAATTTATCTTGGAAAAAATATATATCCAACTTATCCCCCTGGGATTATATTCTGATACCTGGCTTGGCTGAGGTTTTTTTTGAATGGGAAAGTGAGAGAGGGAGGTTCTTTACCTAGCAGATAATCATTTGTTCTTCTCATGATTGTTCCAGTCTGTGGTACATACATCTTTTTCAACCAGAGATTTCTAGATAGAAGTCAAGCACTCGTTTAAAAAAAAGTATTATACTTCACTCAGTTACCCTTAGTTATCCTTGCTATGGGTAAAATTATCTTTCTTTCACAGTGGGAATCTTACATTACCATACAGACAAACTATGTGAAATTAGGAAAAGAATTTTCAATCAAGGACAAATCAAATGTGGACAAATTATCATATTTGATTTATTAATTATTCATTTTTCTACATACCGTATTTACCCGCATATAGGCCACACTTTTTTGATGAAAAACCACCTTGAAAGTTTGCAGTGTGGCCTATATGTGGGTACAAGAGTTCATGTAGCCTTTGCACAGAACAGAACAAACTCTTCTTAATATGAAGAGGAGAACTTATTGTCTGAATCACTGCATATGGTCTTAATCATCAACAAGTTCTCTGTTTCACAGTCAGTATCCAAGCAGCAACTATTTGGTGGCCATTGTAACTAAACTTGGGGGATAGTTACCAATATGGTGACCTGTGTTTAGCAGTTACATAGCATGCTGTCAGCAAAGTTTTTATAACCTTATTTTGATAACCTTTTTCCTGCTTTTCCAGATATATGTTATTATAATTTGTAAACAAAGAAAAATATTAGTAAACATGCCAGTAGTTTGAAAGCATGTTACTTGAATTTTATTTTAACACTGTCTTACCACATGAATCTTTTTAAAACTCAGTTACATGGCAACATCTGGTCTAGATGGAAAAATGAGGATCTGGGATGTAAGAACATATAAGGAACTTCACACATATTATACTCCTACCCCAGCAAGTTGTCTTGCTATCAGTCAACGAGGATTGCTTGCTGTGGGTCATGGACCACATATTCAGGTCTGCTGGGAGTTAAGAAATTAAGTAAAGTCAAGAGGTGTTGGAGTCTATGTAGTGGTTTTTGATAGTTTTTTATTTATTTTTGGTTCTTTTATTTTTTATCTGCCACAAAGTGTATTTTCATTGTCTAAAAATCATGATGGTTGATTTTTCATGTTATCAAACATGTTGCTGCTGCGTGGTTAATACACACCTGGACTAATGTTGATGTTGATTCTAGCTATGGTTACCTTAACTAGATTCCACATCAACATTAGTCCAGGCTTTTACTTTCAAGCCAAGGTTATTGGAGTAAACACTTAAACAGACCTACAGTTTCTTTCTTTACTTTGAAGTTTAAGAAGATACTAAATAAAAAAAAGCTGTCTGAGAAACCTGATGAAGTATGCTCAAGGATAGGAGTTAAATACATTTCATTCTAATTCCTCAATGTAGTTATAACTCTTTAAAACCAGTATGAGTGACCAGGATTTAATATTTCCTTACAATAATACTGCAAATCTTTTATGAAGCATATAAAAACATATGAAATGATCACCAACCTAGGAAGCTTTGATTTTAAACAAATTCTTCTTGTCAGTACCAAAGGAAATGTATGAAGAAGACTGTGGAGAATGTGGATACTGATGTTATGGTTAAAGGTAGACTTAATTTTAATTTTGAGCTCACTCTTAGCTTCCTTTTCATTGTTGTTGCAAACAGATATGGCGGGATGCTTTCACTCAAAAACAGAAGTCTCCCTACATGTCTCATTTGTTTCCCTCCTGTACTGTTCATGGCATGCAGTTCTGTCCATTTGAAGATGTTTTAGGTGTTGGACACTCAAAAGGATTTGGCAGCTTACTTATACCAGGTGAGACTGTTGTTCCTTCAACTCTTATGAGGGACCAAGACAGAATTTCTCCTCACAATGTCATTGAAATATCAAGCAGACTTTTGATGAGAATTAAGGAAAATGTCAGGTAGGGGATTATTAGTTGATCCAATACCAAATTCTCCAAACTAACATCGTACAATTCATAGCGGAGCTCGCAAAGCATAGCCCCATAATTATACAAAATAGTAGTATCCCATCAAGCCAAAAAAATTTGGATGTACGACCGTACGGCCGTATGACCAACCGTACAAGGTGCTACTTTTAGTATGCATGGCCAACTGTACCAAGGGCACTATCTTATAATCAGTCCTCTACACGGACATGGAGAAGTTGTGAATGAAAATGCATTAATACTACAACACACTTTATCCATAATAGGGGCTTAAGTTTTTTTGAAGAGATGTGTGGGAAAAAAAAATGCAAGCTTTACTTTTTAGGCTTCCCTAAATCTATATATTATGGCTGATGAAAGAAGAATTACTAATGAGATCTGGAGTGAAAGGGTTAAATGTACAATGGACAGAATTATTATATGAACCAAGGATGGGCAAATTACTATTTTCAATACTTATAACACAACACCTGTGTTATGCTGCTTCTTTCTTCAATACCAACATCAATATCAATATTGTGATATCATTCAGTAAACAAGTAAATAATTAATCTGTATGATTAACAAAATGGGAGGTAGATGTGTTTTATTCAATTTATTCAAACTAGTCACAGATTTAAATTTATCAACAAGTCAGAACATTTTCTTGCTTGATAAAATAGTGGAGAAAACACAATATTTCAAACATGTTTTTTGTTTTTTTTTTGCCTTTGGTGATAACCAGAAGGACACAGGCTTAACAGGAGCCTTTTCTCAATGTCATGGATTTTCATCTTTTATGGAAAGTTCATTTGAAATCCACTGTAATACCAATCTATAATGTTCTTGTATCACATTATTGTTTTTTTTTCTCTTCAGGTGCTGGTGAACCTAACTTTGATGCATTGGAGGCCAATCCTTACCAAACCAAAAAGCAAAGACAGGAGTTTGAAGTCAAGGCTTTGTTAGAAAAGGTGAAAAATGGAAACAAGCTTACTAATCAAATAGTATCTTGTCCATGGTAAACACACCAGGAATTATGATTTCAAGTAATATCCCCTCTTTTATCTTGTATTATTTTGTTTCACTTGTAATTCACTGTTTGTACCTTGTTTTAATTTGCAGATTCAGCCAGAATTAATAACGTTAAACCCAATGGATATCTTGCGTGTTAGTTATCCGAAAAAAGGTTCAAATACAAATGACCATGATAATGATGATGAGGAGGTAGGTACAGAAGATGCAAATAGAAGATACTACTTGAAGGTGCAACTCTAAGGCACAAGTGATGCAGATGAAATTCTTACATATGTTCATATTGGTTAAAAATTTACATTTCAACCAACAACCTATCTGCAATGAGTAGTTATTCAAATGTACTGTATCTACCTTTTCTTTGTTACCTAGCAATCAGATGAGAAATTTGAACCAAGGCATAAAATGAAAGGTCGTAGCTCTTCAAGAAAGCATCATCTAAGGAAGAAGGGTCATGAAGAACAAGAGAAGAAGGTAAATGGCCCATTGTCAGAAAACTTGCATCTGTTCAGTATCACATCAAGATTGCAGTAGAGTCTATTAATTTTACTTCATGAAGTTCTCATAGGTCGAACTACCACTGAAATCTCCACACAGATTCATTTCTCCTCCTTGGGTTCATTCTGTTAAATTGACATGCCTTTCAATTGACTGCATATCAGATCTACTCTCCAAGAACTGACACAGCCACTTATTCCACATGTCACATGCTAGTTTTTGGTTTTAAAAGGTAGTCACTTCTACCAAAATATTTTAAAAGTGGAACTTTTTCTTAAGTGGAATCACTCTGAAAAGGGTTTGGGAAAGTTATGTAGAATTATTCCTGTGTGGGGAAAATACGATTAGGGGAATGTTACAACAAATGATCAATTTTTTTTTTTTTTTTAATATTCTGGTTGTCATTACTCTGGTATAATTGCAGAGGTTTTTTTTTTCCAGGAAAAAGTCAGACAAGCAATGCAGAAGAAAAGAAAAGAAAGAAGAACAGAGAAAATTAGTGAAGAAAGATCTGTACAGTCATTGTCTGCATTAGATAGATTTCTGCACTCTAAAGCAAAGTAGTGTCAATCAGCAGAAATGACTTAATTAATAGAGCAGTTTGTTTTTGTAAAATAAATGGTTGAATCTTTGTCAATTTTAAGCCTAATAAAAGAAATCACCTGATCATGTGTTAGATTTACCAGCAGTGTTCTGCAACTTTTAATTTCAAATTTGCCGACTAGTCCAACTACTGATGGAGTTTATTTTACTCTCACAGGTCAGTGTGGAAATATGCAAAATAAAAGAGACATGTGAAGTTGGTGATCTAAGTGTTCTTTATTACAATTAACAGAACATTGTACTTTTAGTTCTTCTTCTTGGCCACACCAACAGTTCTACCCTTGCGACCAGTGGTCTTGGTGTGCTGACCGCGCACACGCAGACTGTAAAAAAAAAAAAAAAGAAGGAACACATTTATTCTAGGCCTTTCTAATTCAGTGCTTCCTTTTAATTTATTTCCGTTGCATGAAAAAAAGTGACTAGAGAGAAGGTCAATCCATGGGACCAGCCATTCAGCCAAAAGAACACTTCTACAACTTTGATATATATTAGGATATAGATTAGGATATGGGTAGATTGGCATACTCCTATCACTGAAAGTTATATGACATAACATGGAAATAGAACATTTCTACAGCTTCCACAGAAATTTATAACCAGTGTACATTTCATCTACAACTTGTCCACCAGTCCAGGAAAAGTATAAATGACTTTGTCAGAGATCAAAATGTTGAATGCCAATGCAATAGGCCATTTTGATATCTTTAAATTCTAATGTGGCTCCAAAGGTAGGGGAATAAAAGAAAAGAAATTAATTGTTCATCCCTCAACCTCTCTGTAATTTCTTTTGTTTTATTCCCCCAATGAGTCAAGTTGGAATTTTAAGATACCTAAAATGGCCAATTGAGCTCTGAGTGGTGTTGGTACCAGATGAGCCCCTATGAGCAATAGTCATGTTGATATCCACAAAACTCAAATCAAAACATACCCCCAGTAATGACGGAGCCCACGATGAGCACGGATCTTCTTTAACCTTTCCAAATCATCACGGAGCTTGCTCTCAAGATTGTTGGCAAGGATCTAAAACACAAATTACAACATCAAATGAAACCCTTCTATAAAACCCTTGAAGATTAAATTCCAGTTCAGTTCAATTTTCCATACCTGTGAGTACTTGCCATCTCTGATGTCCTTCTGCCTATTAAGAAACCAATCGGGAATCTTGTACTGGCGTGGGTTCTGCATGATAGTTACCACGCGCTCCACCTGCAGCCAAACAGAAGCTACCTTTACCCATGTACAGTAACCTCTTAGGCAAATAACAATATTAATACCCTATTTTACCTCATTGTATCCAACTGATTTAAGTTTATACTAACTACTGTCACGAACAGAAGTCAGATAATTCAGTTCACAAGTTTGAAAATTATGTTCAGGTCAGGTTTATTTAAAGCTGAAAACCACAACCTACTGGATAAATAATTGATTGCTGAGTAGGATAATTTAATGGTTATCAACTAGAAAGTAATTTGTGTGGTGCAAAGCAAACTGGAACTGTAAGTCTAATATGCTTCTGCATGAATTAATGAAAATATACACTGTTGAGATCTCACAGTGAAAAACCTCTGGTAGTGTGGAGCCATTATCAATTACTAATAAGCAAATAAGAACATTTGACTACAGGGTGTTAATATATATCAGAGAACAAAGAATTCTCCGGCTATTAAACAGTATTATCTTGTTAAATTACATTATAACAGCCTCACTTATTTTTCATCCTGATAAATTGAACATTCTCCTCTTCCTATACAATTGTTATCCTGCTACTTTTTTTTTTTCAATCTAAAAACCCTGTGGCAATGAAAATTTTTCTAATTCTGTCCATGAAGCTTTACCTCATCATCTGTGAGCTCTCCAGCACGTTTGTTCATATCAACGTCAGCCTTCTTACATACAAGGTTGGCATACCTTCGTCCCACACCCTGCGAGAAATTTCAATTTCCTCATGTTTGTTGCACAGTACTAATGTAGCACACACTACAATGTCACTTTTTCATCACAATGTTAGTTAACACAAGGGACAAACAAAGAAAAACTTAGAGTAAACATAAGGAAACTACCATTAACAAGGGACTGTGGAAACTGTACAACTCATGACTCCCTGAAAAAGTTTGTTTGCCTTTGACAAGTCCACTGCATACTGAACAATCACAAAAAAGTTCACAACAAACTGATTACCACTGTTATTAGAGCAACAGCTAGTTGGCTTTTTCTTCAAGACATAAAAACATCCCCAGAATATTTCTGGTGTTCACAGTTCACCATGCTTCTTATGTAGAAATTCCATAATGATTACTATACAATGTAACTCTGTTTATGGCCCTCTTCAAATGCGACACTAGATCTTCACACTGTACAACACTAATTCCAAATACAGAACATTTATGTTCTCGGTAAGATTTCCACACAAGCCCACACTCTTCCATAACAAAGCCATAGTCTCTTATCTAAGTACTGTACGCATAATGAAGAATGGGATTGCATGAAAATCTTGCCATCTTCTCCTGTTTTATCCACTGACCTTGATGGAAGTTAGTGCGAACATAATTTTTTGTTTTCCATCGATGTTGGTGTTCAGTACACGCAAAATATGCTGAAACTTCTCGGGAATTACAAGGGCCTATGCGAAAATAAATATTTTAACGTGAGGACATTGAAATTAGTTATAATGACATCACTAAAAAGTTAACCATCTTCGTTTACATCAATAATGATAGTAGTATTAACAATTCGAAAGTAAAACGACATCGAATAACATTCGCGAAATTTCTGATATTCCACAGCCAAATGGGAACTTGTAAGTTTAGTCTTGCTGTTCAGAAAATTCTTTTTTTTTTTTTCAAACGCCTGAGAAATGCAAAAATTCAAAGTAGAAACCTATATTCTTCGAAATCCGTAACGTTCGACTGTACATTTATTAACTGGCTTGAATAATTTGCACAGTGTGCAAATTTACGAAATAAAGGCAGAGATCACTTCTCACATCTTAAGAAACAACAATTAAATTAACGATAACACCGATGATGACACAGATGCAAAGATTATAGCGGATTTCTTCGACACTATCCTACGCTCAAACTCCAACCTACCATGATGGCAGCCGAAAGAGAACGCAACGTGGTGCATGATGGGATTTGTGATTAACTGAACCCGCACAAAGTAGCGTGTCAGTGGAAAATGGCGTGCCATCATTGTATATCGTGTATGAAGAAGTATAGTGTCCAAAGGGTTTATTTATGAAAAAGTTTAAGATATTGAAGAACAAGACTTTCACTGCTCAAACCAAGCTAGAAAAGGGAAGCAGCGCAAACTGAAGAACTGGTGGTAGTGAAATTCAGACACGATAGAACAAAGGAAAAAAATTTGGTGTAATATTTCTTAGAAAAGTGGAGTAATTATGCAAAAACAAAGGAAAGCAAATGTAAAAAAAAAAAAAAATTTTTGGTAAGGGAGGATGCATGCAGAGATGTTTCCAAAGTACCAAAGTGAAAAGGTATTTCCAGCCATAAGCCATATAAAAACTTATCATCCTTACAAACCAACTTCTAGTATTCAAACTTAAAAACAACAGAGTAAAGAATGAGTCAATTTTTATTTCACAGAGAATGTTAGGTGATTGGTTAATCTTGATAACAAATTTAAGTGTGAAGACACCAACAAGGCTGGATTAGTCTCCTAGTTAGTTTCAATCAGAATGCTGTCTATGTATCAAGATTACATTGATTTAATAAATAAGGTGAAAAACCCAAAATACCCAAATGAGAGCAGAATGCAAGAAAAATTACTTTGCAAATATACATGTGTGTCATGAAAAGCTTGCATAGTGGTTCGACAGATCTTATATTAATTTTCTGCATTTCTTTGTGGCATAATCTTGTTACCTCAATGAAAGAATTTATTGCCAACATCATCTACAAAAAAATAGACATAACTAAACAAAACAAATTATTTTGATGTTAACATGTGAAAAAAATATTATATAAATTGTATGGTAACTTTTCTGAACAACTTTTGGTCTATACTGGCATTTCTAAGGCACAAAGTTTTGAGACAAATACTAATTGAAACCTCACACTAAGTCATGCAAAAGGAGGAATGATTGTAATCGATGACAGGCCCAAAATTTTCAAATGCCTTCAGAATACAAAGAAAACACTCTGCTGGGCACACCCAAGCAGACACACACACTGAACTGTAGACCATAACTTTGATTTATGGGGGATCAGGATAACTTTCCTTTGCACATTTTTAATGAAACAAAAAGAGCCCAAATAAAGAAAAATCAGTGTGTCTGACACATTTGTCATTGCAACAAGAGAGATAGGAGATCCATTTGAGCTATACTTCTTATCATCACACTGTTCTGCAGTTGTTTTTTTAAATACTTTATGGATAACACCAACTTATCTTTATCCATTAAATGCTGGTGTAACCAAATTAAATTTATCCTTTTCATGCTGATGTCCTCCTTGTACAACATGATTAATGATACAAAATTGTCTGAATTGGTGCTTCTTGAGCATCTATCAAACCAAACACAACAGCTCTGTCAACTGATGAAATTCAAACACCAAAAGATGGAGAAACATCAACTCATTTTTTTTATCCCAATTCACTTTAACATCCAAACGCATCACTAAGTGGTAACTTTACGACTCCTACTCCTCCACCTAGTCTACGATAGTTCATCCCTCCATAAAGCTTCCACTGATTTAACACTGGGTCAAACACTTCAATAGTCTTAAGATAAGTGGTACCATCAAAACCACCAACAGCTAAAAGTTGTCCATTTACAACTGCCAGACCAACTCCACTACGGCGAGAGTTCATTGCCACAACAGGTGACCATTGGTTTGTTTTAGGATCATAACATTCAGCACTACTGAGCTCTGTTGCATCATCTCGCCCTCCAACTGAGAAATGAAAACAAGTATTCAGTTATAAAATTGTTTTTTGATTCTGCAGATAATAAAACAGACCCTGTAAGGAAGTTTTCACTGACTAAGTGCTGGTTTATTCTGTGTGAATTTAATACTGTTGAAATATTATTACTTCTTTGTAAGTTAAGTGATGACCAGGACAGCTGAGATGAATTGTCACATAACATTGTTCCTATTTTTATTCTTTAAGAGAAGTACCATTTTCACAGTGCACATAAATTACTTGAGATTTGGTTGCCATTGGGAAAATAATGTTCTCACATTAGTCAAAGAACTTTTGACAGATGGTCAGGTACAGATATTCAATAAGGTTATACACCATTTCCCTTCACAACAAACTTGCTAACCTGATCACACTGTATGAATTTTATGACCTTTTTCAATTGTTCCATTTGTATTGGTATGTTCCCCATAATATACACTATGCTTTAAATACAGGGTTTTCTTAAGAAATGTGTAGAGTAAAAGGAAACAACTCTCCACATCTGAATAAAAAAATAGCTCAGTCAGGCTTTCAAAATTTAGCTGAATAACCATGCCTGAAAATTAACTGAACTTTGCTCCCTCACCAACACCCTGACTTCACTCCACTAGATAATTTAGAATAAAGCAAACTTTTAAATACTCACCAACATAGAGTTTATCCTGGAAGAGGGCAGCCCCAAGATGTTTCCTTCGTGTTCCCATGGGTGCCACTGGGCTCCAACGGTTAGTTTTAGGATCATATTTTTCAACTGTATTTAAGGGTGAGGTACCATCAGAGCCACCAATAGCATACAGATAACCATCAAGTACTGCAACACCAACACCAAGTCTGCGAGAACTCATAGATGCAACTCGAAACCATCTGTTATCTTGAGGGTCATATTTTTCAACAATGTACAGACATGATACACCATCTTGCCCCCCAACTGCATACATGTACCTGGAAAAGTTGGTTTAAAATCAGTGATATATTTCTTGTTTACCCCTTTGAACAAGCAAGCTTAAAAATAATAATTATTACAAATCAAACTAGAATTTAAAAAGTCATTAAGAGAAAAAACTACTCAAGAATCACCAGATCATGTGATAATAGTAGGCAGTCTGTCATGTGTACTTATGGTGGTTACTCAACACACATTCTTGTATATTATGCTTAGTTTTCAAATAACAGCAGAATCATCTTAGGTACTTAAGTATGCAAGTGGGATAGACAAAGTTTACCTAAGTCTTAACAACATTTTTCATTATGCATTTCCCTATATCCACAATTTGTACATGTGGAGCTGTTGTAAGTTCACTTCCCTCCATCTAACTTGGGTTAAATACCTGAACCAGTATATTCATTTAATTTATTAACAAGCACGGTCGTTTCTATTATATCTGCTACCGAATAGGTGATTTGTTCTTATTCCAAACAACTTACCCATCAAGAACAGCAACACCCACACTGGTGCGACATGTGCAAGTTGGTGAAACATCACTGCTCCATTGGTTTGTTTTGGGGTCATACCTTTCAACACTGTTGAGATAGCTACTACCATCATGACCTCCAACAGCATACAGTAAATTGTCCAAAACGGCCACACCCACACCACAACGTCGCTTACTCATGGTGGCCACCATTTTCCAGTCATTTGTCTGTGGTTCATAGCGTTCAACACTACTGATGGCATCTCCACTACACCAGCCTCCCACAGCAAACAACACTTCTGTGCATTTAGTTGGTTTTCGAGGTCTGGTCCGAGGTCCTTGCATGAGCAACCTTTGCTCTGGCAGAAGAAGATAGTTCTTGGCTTCATCCACAAGATCTCTACAGGATTCATCACTTTTTACCAAAGGATCAGTACCAACGACACCAACTAAGAATTTAGGGCCTAAAAGTGGTAGCCTGACATGTTGTAAGACCTGTGAAAGATGACATCGCCTCTCTGAAACGCTGTATTTGACCCAGTTAATGACCGCTGTAAAAACCTGTTCTTCGGAACGAATGTTAAGTTCGTCGCTGGACAGAATATTCAATAATTGTGTCACCGGTAAAAGTAAGAATTCCTCACTTTCTATGACTTCTTGAAAATTATGGTGAGTAAAAATGTCGGCAATACGCAACAGCTCGCGGCAAGAGTGAGTATCAGCGAAAGCTCTGATACCGAGGCAATTCGAAGGATCTAGCTGGCGTTTTAAAAACTCACAGCATATTTCCTGAATTTCTGAGATTTGAAGCAAACAAGCGGCAGGAAGAAGGGCTTGAACATTGACTTCTTCCACAATAATTTCTGCACTGTATGCGAAATCAACCAGGAGTTCCATAGCTGTTTCATCGACATCTTGAATTGTTACTTCTTTTTTCCGACTTTCCGCCATTTCGCCCGTGAACATGGCTTTAAAATACGGACTACATGCCGCCAAAATCACTCGATGAGCAAAGAGAGTTTTACTACCAGCCTTAATTACAACATCACACAATTCTCTGCATTGCCGTAGAGAGTCTAATGTGTCCAGAAGTTGTTTAGGGTGGCGATCTGAAATATGTCTCATCCTCGGTTTGTTAAATTGAGAAGACTTCAACGGGCTGCCAGCGAAAAATGGCAATCCCATCTCCATAGCTGCGGTTCTCTCAGTGTTTTCCATTGAAACTGATCATCGTCGATTACAATGCCGAGTTCAAGTGTTAGCCTTGCGATTTAATACATCTGAATGAATGAATTTGACAAACTTAAGCACACATTTTTAGTGCTATTCACCAAAACAAAATCTCCCAATAACCGAATATAAATTGCAATTCACTATGTAACCTGGCCTTCGCCAGAACGGGGAAGAACGGGGAAGAGCGGAGGATTTCTTCTTCCGTGCTGTTACAAACGGGTTTAATTTCTTCATCGAGAATGGGATCTTAGTTTTAGTTTCTTTTTTCGATTTTCCACGCTCTGAAGGAAACGTTTTTTGAATATTTTTTTCATACTTTCTGTTCTGAAATCCTCAAGAGGGTGGAAAAATGAGTTTAATTTTCGTTCGTGGTTTTACGAAAACGAAAGTCTTGGTAGGTAAACTGATGGTTTGGTGTCGTGTTCTGTTATGAAAAACTTCGAGGCCACTTTTTCTTCCTCGGTAGGAGGAAAAAATGGTGGTGTTGAGAAACGAATGAACAATTTGTCCGATATTATTCGTGTTGAGGAGAAACGTGTCTACTAAGAAGGTATTGTGGTGAAAATTAAGAAGTCCTTTAGCTGTTATGAGGTAATGAATGTCACGCTTTTGCAAAAGTTGAGAGCCACATGAAAATTGTAACACGTGTGGCTACTAATTTTCTATGAATCTGAATTTGTTTTCGAGAGAGAAAGTGTCATCCTTTCTTATCAAAGTTACAATTGCTTTACATGGTTGTTTTCCTTTTCTCAACACACATTTGCTGTGGTCAGAAAACCCTTAAATGTCGATGTGTATTGGCGTTTTACAAAACTGACTTCAAGCTTGCTAAAATTCTCAAATGTGATGAATCAGATTTTCGATGCTTAGTTTACAGCTCTGTCATTTGTGAGGCTATACTCTGAGTGTCTGGACACTCGCATTGCCCTGTTAAGTATGAAGCATGCTTTATCACAGGAAATCAATGTAAAAACCTGTTAAATGGCTTTGTAATACATTCTGACTAAATTGAACAGTCTCTAACTGACTCACTGATTTTGTCTTTAGGACAGAGGAAAATAACTAACAAGAGGTAGAGGAGCTTTTTTAAACCTGATACTTTTAAGGCTGGCTCTCCTTTGTTTAAAATTTATTTGTTGCAGTATTAAATACAAAACATAACCTAATCTATCAATAAGATAGAAAGAAATAATGATGTTCAGAAGAAATATGCCAACATGAAATAACTAATGAGGCTTAATAGATCCATTAGTTAGTAAAAAGTTTGCGTTAAGTAGCATTTTCTCGTTAACAAAATAAACCTGTCGTCGTTTGCATGTTAGAGGGAGTTGCATTGTCACGTATTTTTGCATTGTTTGTCAGTCGGTGATCAATTGGTCGTTGGAGAGCTCGGTCAGTTTGGTCACTGAGAAGGACATTGTAGCATGTTGTGGTTTAGAGGGGGTGACTGTTGTTAACAGGTTAAGATAAGAGCTTAAGTGGAGAGCGTCTGCCAGGACAACACAACATGGCCGCCGCAGGTTCAAGTGGCTGCTATCCAAGGTTCTACTTAATTGTTTTAACGAAAGTGGCTGACATTCCTATATTTTACTCGTCTAGTTTTTTATCGGCTAACAAACTGAATTAAACTTAAACCTATTTGTTTCTTGCTGCTGCTGGTTATCACATTGTTCAAGCTGAAGCACAGAGTTTGAATATGTCGTCGTCGAAGGAGTAAAACTGCGTCGTGATGACCCGTCGTCCAAAACACTGCTCTGCATCTTACTTTCCTTTCTCGGAGTCGTGGTAGATAACTCGTAGTCTTCATTTCTTTCCGATTCTTCTGCAATGATTTTCCTTCTTGTCTGATAAAAAGCAATCTTACGCTCCATGCCTAAAAATAAAATTGATATGAAGATGCCAGCAGCGACAAGCACGAAAACGCCGTTGTGATCAGACATAGACAATCTGTGTGGTGATCTCTCAAAGTCTTCTTTTGTCAAACACTTCCGCACCAGCCACTTATTCCAAAGAACAGACAACGCGTTTTCGTCACTCAGTTGGAGAATCCTCTTTGAGAAAACCTGGGTCCAAGAGGAATCTTTCGCTAGTACTAGTCCATATCCAGAGATACCAAAAGGCTCTCCCACAATTCTCAAGGAGCAGTCGTGTTGCGAAGAGACCAAATGCTCCAGATAAGGGTGGTCGTCGATATAAACTGAAAATTCCCTGTAGATGAGAGTACCAATAACCGTGATAAGCATTACCCGCTATTGTACATGGACGCTGGGTCCTTCCATACAGGCTAGTAGGTTAAAGAGAAGAAAATAAATAAACAGGAGCCTTGGCAACCACGTATATCCACTGGACTAATTTTCAGTTGATTTAGTTCATTAACTCTGATGGAGAGCTAACGCTCGAAACGTCAGCTTTGAAACACTTTGAGGTGGCCAATTCGCGTTATCTACTCAGTTGATAACACTAAATTACCCCGTTATACTCTTCCACCGACGCAGTACCTCTGTTTCTTTAGAAACTTACTCGTCTATAATTTTCGGTTAAACTGTTATTTCTGCTTTTTTGGGATAATAAGGAGCTATACGGTTGTGAATTTCTTAAGTATTGCATGTATTGTTTTTATTTTTTAATTTTGTTTACGGAATTCGAAGTTTATGTGTTAATTCAGTACAACAGGAAATCTTCCGAATAAAGCTACATTTGATCGTGCGTGTTCTGAAGTAAATCAATGCAACTGAAAATGGAACTCCTACCCAGATTTAACTTTTGCCACCCCGTCATGTACATTTTCCACGTTGTAATGCTTCATGTTATCATAGATTTTACGCATGCGCGGATCTCGATTAAACTTGAAGTAGGCTTCAGTGCTGCTCGACTTCAGAGTTCCAAAGTGGAAACCGGGGGGAGGGTTAATCATCTGTCAAAGGAGAGAAAAAAAAAATCAATGAAAGTCAGCATATCTGGGTCGGTAAGACATTAAAGTCAAACAATTATCTGGTACATACAAATTTTGCCACAATCTGTTGCTTTAGATAAAGGAAATTTATCTCCATGTACACATACCATAAGAAGGCACCATTTTGATATGACGAAAAGCTTGAGATAATAATTTTTCAGTATTTCTTTGAACACGAGGGGTTGCACCTACTGTTATTACGGTGAACTTTTGGGGCTTAAACCTTTGACCCTAAAGAGTGCCTAAAATCTAATTTCTCTTTACAAAATCACTCCTGGTTCAAACATTAAGGATGGGAGAATAAAAGAAATGATTACCAATTGAAGAAACTATTGTTGTTAGACAAATGCTCCTTGTAAGTACTGTAGGATATGTATAGAGAACAGTATGGAGAATATGCATACTGATGTTAGGGTCTTAAGGGTTAAAGGAAGAGGAAAAGTGGGGCTAAGACGAAAGTGGACAAACAAAGGTGAGAGATGGGAAGGAGTTCTACTACTCAATATTCCATCCATTTTGTCTTTCACAACTTTTCTCCCAGCTGTTCCCTTAATTTATCGTCTCCATCATGTTTTTGCCTTTCACATCCCTTCCCTTTCAGATGCATAAGCTTTAAGTTTCTTTAACTTTATTGTACCTTTTCGTCGTATATTCCTGTTACTGGTGGCTCAGCGTCATCTTTTACCTTATTAGCGGCTAGATTTGCGGTATATGTGCTGCTCAGGATTATCATGGCAAAAGCAAAGAAGATAGCCACTAGGCGCGCACTCAAGCTTCTTGGAAAACCACTTCCCGCTGGCACGTGCACAAGTGTGCTCCACGTGTAAGACATACTCTCCAAGAACGTTATACTTTCTTTCTCACTCAAGCTTTCTGTGATTGCTCTTTTCGAAAAATAACTATTGCTATTAATATAAAACTCATTTGTTTTTCGGTCCAGGTACCACAAGGCGACAAGAATTGTCAGAATGGATAACAAGATAGCAAACCATAAACTTGTTCCAAACGGTTCGAGAAACTCCATATTTATGAAAGGTTTGGAAGAAACACCGTTGGCAATTATCATCCCAATTCCAACTTCGCCGTAAGGAGTAGTGAAATCCACTACCTGACTGCGCTGTGCGTTGATCGTGATAGTACCTAATGCCATGTCTGCTTTACCGTACAACACTTCACCTATCATACCATTCCACAGACCTGTAACATCATCTATGGCCCCGTACTTTCCATCTGGTACGAGGTATACTTCATAGGAGAAGCTTAGTTTGTCCTGTATCAAGCCCAGTAAGTCTATCATTAGACCAGACACACAGAAGACGTGCAGCTGATTTGAACTGTTGCTCGAGATGTTGGAGTGTTCGTAACAGGGGACTCCTATTTCGCAAGTCGGCTGAGGTGAATTGTGTTGTAATTTTTCTTTCGTGCAATGCTCTCCATGTTCGGTGCAGCCTGTCACGTTTCCAGCCTTATAAAGGTACTGACCGTGTTCGATACTAACAATTCGAAGAGTCTTAGATGCAACGCCAGGTTTGGGATCGAATTTTGGAAGAAAGTTTTCTTCAAACTGAAAGCTTCCGTTACTTTGAAACGTTGCAATTTTCCTCCAAGATTGCCTCAACACAGGATTAGTTTCTAGCTTTAAAATGTCGTAAGTATCGCTGACAACTTGCTGATTCAACGTCAAACTTTGGGTCGTCGGTCTACAAGGACTGTGGAAAGATCATGAAATTACGAATTTATAAATACCAAAATTTGGAAATTTTGTTAACTTATTGGCGTTATGAGAGCCATCTTAAGTGAACGCTTACCTTATCAACTTTTTAAAAGACGTCCTATGAAACACGCCATCACATGACCCGTTTGGGAGTGAAACAGTCAGCACTGATTCATTGGAGTCAACTTGTGTTGAAGAAGCAAGAATCTGTAGTGCTTTTAATGCTGTGTAATAAAGTTCAACAATAATGAAATTAATAATAATAATGTACATGAAAACATTACGCGCTTCTGATTGGCTGAAAACGAGTGCATTCTCATGTATATAAATAGCGAGCGCACGCTTTCAAAATTTCATCTGTCTTGAATTTTTGTGATGTTTATTTGTATATTATTAACAAGTAATAACACGATTTATCTCGCAAAATTTGGTGTAATAAGCACTTGTAAAT